ACCCTGCGGGGGGGCATCCTGCTGCCCCCGGTGATGCCCCATCCCTGCCAGGGAGAGGGAACTCCGGGATTGTCACTGCTGCAGTAATGTCACCCATCTCTTCTAGAGAAGAAGCAGCATCCCAAGTCAAAGGGCCCCGAGGCCCAGGGAGACGTCCCCGTGCCCAAATTCAGGAGGGGGAAGGGGGAGTCAGAGCGCTCCTATGTCTGCCGCATGGAGCAGGAGGTGCAGCGTGTCCTGTTCCTCACCAAGAACCAGCTGCAGCGGGAGCCTGAGAAGGAGGCGACGGTACCGGAGAAGTCCAAGAGGAAGAAAGAGTGAGAGCAAGGCCACTGCGGCTGCGGGGGCTGGGGCTGGGGAGGCCTTCCCCAGCCCAGTTTGGGCACCTGGCGGGTGCTTTGCTGGTGCTGCAGCGCAGGTCCAGCACTCAGGAGCAACTGGGGTTGCGGGTGGGGGGCTGTGGGCCTCCCCTCCACAGGGCCAAATCTCTGGGACTTGAATCACAGACCTTGCTTCACTCTCCTGCTGGGCTGGAGCTGAGGGGAGAGCTGTGGGGCCCCAGGTTTTGGGGGCATCCCATGGGGTAGGAACCCACTTCTTCCCTGTCTGTTTACGAGCCCTGGCCATAACACAGCTCTTCAGGTTTCAGAAAAAGAAGCTGGAAAAAGCACGGAAGAAGAAAGAGGAGAAGAAAGAAGCCATGTTGGAGAAGAGCCTGTTCCGAGGTGGGTCTGGCGCAGTGGGGTGACTGGAGCGACACCCTGCCCCGGCAGTGCCTGGAGAGGTGGGGGTGAGCTGGAGCAGCACGTCCCAGGGAGCTCCTGGCTGATGCCAGCGCCTGGTTCTCTCTTAGACACGGTGGCATTTGGCGAAGTGGTTACACAGCCGCCCACCATCACCTCGCGGCCCAGGGGCCGGGGCCCCACGGAGCAGGTGAGCTGTGGGGATGATGCCTCCTGTCCCTCGTTCGTGCCCTCGGGTACCCGTGGGTCTGGGCTGGACCCAGGTCATCTCGCCTCCCTTGGGCTGGAAGTCAGGTCTGGAAGGGCCGCGGTGGCCTCGGCCTCCTGGTGGCAGTTCCTTGGAGCCCTGTCCTGGCTTTTTTTCATCCTTCATCCTCCCTGACCTGTCCCGTCTCTGCCCGTAGGCTGGACGGAAGCGGCTTCTCCTGACATCTCACCTGGGCCAGAGTCAGGCGTCCCCAGTGTCCCTGGCAGCACCGGTGTCGATGGCTCGCCGGCGCATCGTGGAGGAGGAGAGAGCGCGCGTCATCCAGGCCTACAGGGACATCCAGAGGCGCAAACAGCAGCAGCGGGAGGTGGCGCGGGGGAGCGCCCCCCACAGC